AATATGTTGGGCTAAATATTTGTGGTTTGGCTTCCACAGTAATTGGTCAAAAGAAATCTTGTTTTTTGGGACACCTTTCCCCATGATCAGCTTCAAGTTGGCATGTAGCTCGACAGAGCTCTACCCTCACTGATGGTCGCAAACACTTGATGATGACTGAAAGAACAAGCCTGCAGATACAGGTGGTCAAATGAGTTTTTTCAGCAGACTATTTGTGCTCTCCTTTAAAGACAGGGTGAGAAGTCTGATGATCCTGAAGCGACTTGGAGTTGAACCGCTGCTCCTCCACACCAAGAGGAGCCAGTTGAGGTGTTTTGGACATCTGGTAATGATGCACCCTGGAAGTATTTTGAGCATCATGGGAGGCGTCAGAAAAGTCCCAGGAAACGCTGGAGAAACCACTATTCTCCACAGGCAAGGCTTCAAGCGCTTCTCATTGATTTAGTCATGGCCAAATGTGTCTCCATTTCCAATTCCTGCACGGTTCTTGGACTCACCCCAGCATTAACAATCAATGTAACCAAGTTATTGGGTTCAAACGACAGCACAGTAGCTCAGTTGGTAGAGCTGTTGCCTCTCAGCAGGAAGGTTGCCTGAGTGAATCCTGACCAGGGACCTTTCTGAGTAGAGTTTGCTTGTTCTCTTCCTGCATGCGTGGGTTTTCTCAGGGTACCAGAAACCTGAATCTTAGGCTTATTGGTAACTCTAAGTTGTCCCTAGGACTGCGAGAGTGAACGGTTGTTTGTCTCATTTGTCTCTATGTAGTCCTGTGATGGACAGGTGACCCCACCCCTCATGACTGCTGAATTTGGCACCACTGACCTTGAAAGGAAGAAGCTGGTAAAAGATAATGGATCAATGGACGGATAGATGGATGGATGGATGGATGGATGGATGGATGGATGGATGGATGGATGGATGGATGGATGGATGGATGGATGGATGGATGGATGGACTGTGAGCAAACCCTTTTTTTAATCTAAATTTAGGAGACAAGCACAGGGAAATTGTTTGACTTGCAACACCATGCTTTTAAATCCTTTTTACCCCATCATTCAGTTGGGGTCTATATCATGTGGACACAATGCTTTGGTTTGAACACCTCCTTGTTGTAACTCCACAAGCCCCTCTTTCACCCCTTTTCTAAAGTGTGTCTCAGATCAACTCGTTTTGAGGCTGTCTTTTTAAAACAAATAAAGCGCTTCACACCCCGCCCCCCAGCTTCCAGACCGGTCCATTCTAGTTTGATAGACTGGTTTGATAACGTTTGTTATCACATCTATTTTGCACTTTGCATTTCATATATTTTAACCACAAAACAGTACATGTGAAACTGAACGTGGAAAATGATGGCGATGTTTCAGCAGAGTAAACAGACTGGGTCAACATGTCTGGAGTCCGCTGAGGCCTGTTGAATTGCGGGTAACACAAGGTGAGGAGAAGCTCTGTGGCTTTGGTTTTGTACAATATAAAAGGTGCGATGGAGGTTTTGGCACCGATTTGGTAATTATATAATTCATCTCTGTCTATAACAGCTTGAAGTCCTGGATGTTCCTCAGCGAGCAGCCGAAGGGGAATACTTCACAGCTGTTGGGACTTGCTTCCTTAAAGCTTATGTTAGAATGGCACCTGACTTTTGAGTTGATGGGCGTAATTATACCCATCACTGTCTGAGGTGCTTTATGAAGGCGCTGATTGAGAGAGAACTGGGACAGTAATAAAAACAGTGTGTGTTGGTTCGATACACACACACATAAATAGAGAAAAGCTCAGTGCTTGTTCCTGATTTCTGTTACATTCAAGAGGTCAAAGTCCAAATGTTGAGTTTGTCTCATGCTGGAGTGCTGGGTTTTATATTTAACACTCACTGACAAACTGCAGTGTGAGTGTGTTTGGATCATTCAGATCAAGCTGTATGTTTCACCTTCAAAAGGCTTTCAGTCAGTGAGTCATAACTTAAAAATGCACCTGCTCAGATGAGTGTCATTAGATTAGTGGGTTATATGATAAATCTACATTTGCTTTATTATTGAGATCCATCAGACAAAAAACAGCTAATAAAAGGTAGTTTTAGAAGAGACTGAATCTCAATAAAATGTTATGGACTGAAGTTGTAATTCTGTGACACAGGGTTGATTTTTAGAAGCAAAGTTTTGATTTGCATTTGAAAATGATTAAAATGCAAATTTTGTTGTCAAAACATCTTGAAGTTAATATCCTTCAATTAGAAACAGATCTCTGGAAAAATAACAGAAGTTTTTTTGTTCTTTTTGTTTTTAATTTGATTTCAATTTGTACATTTCAGATGAGAATGCATCAATATTATAGAAGTTATGCTGTATTTGCAAAAGTTTCTTAGATTATTTTTGTGTAAAAGTTACTCTGTGTGTTATGTAATTAAAAAATGTTGTGCATTTTATTTTACAGTAAATTTATTTTGAATCTGTAAATTTAGGTGTGTTTTCATGTAATTGAAAAATGCAGGAAAACCCCAAAGAATAACCTCACTCTATATTTGCAGATTTTCTTTGACAGCGCAGAGCCAATATTACTTGACCAGCAGCAGCTCTAGTGTTTCCAGATATATGATTATTACATTTGTATAACATTTTAAGTTCCATAACATGTGTGAACCTCAATGCCCTTGAGTCAAATCTGGAAATTTGTTTTTCTGTAAAATAATTTGTTATAACACATTTTTTCAATAAATCTTGACAGAGATTATGGTTTTGGATTACGTTTTGAATTTTGGCCCCCTTGTTTAGCTTAGTTTGACACCCCTGGTCTATATAACACACAAAGCTCAAATATGCAGTTGTTATTGCATTTCTTTTCACCAAAACATAAACCAGCTTTATTCATTTATTGATTCACACCCACATATCATGATCTGATCCAACCAGTCAGACCGTGGACTCACCGGGCAGAAGACCACCCCAGCTTCCTGCGAACATTCTCCAATCACAACATTTCATCTTTCTCTCCAGACTCCATTTCTGATCTGGCAACCCTGAGCAGCTTTGTTGTTGCAATGGTTTGCGTTATTATTTTTAATTTTTATTATTGGATTTTTTTATTTTTTTATTTTTTGTGTGTTTTGGACTCGCTTCTTGACCTCATTCCATGGATCAGACTGAACGTGAGTAATCGTTTTGTAGAATGAACAAAGATTAAAAGATTAATGAAAGTCATTACTAGATGGAGCGACAAGTTGTGGCTTGTTACATCTCAGCATAATGAGTGTTTATTAAAACGCTGAGGATGTCCAGCACAAAAGTAAACAGATAAAAGTAGTAAACCCTGTCAGAAAAAAATCCACCCGTATACCTACTTATTACCATCACACATTCTGACAACATTTTGTAGACCACAACTCATAACTGGTTAATGACTGTATTTTATGAGTCCAAGTGTAAATAAATTTTTGTTTTATTTGAACAACCCTACTACTGAGTAAAATCTCTTAGTGTCCCTCCTGTTAGTGCTCTGCAGCCAGCTGAACAGCTTCAACCTCTTGCCTTCAGTGTTCTCTTTCATGTTTAGAGATTCCTTTTAAATCTCTTTGAAAGCCTCTGATCCCACAGCTGATATCATTTCTTTAAGGTTTATTGGGGTTAAACTACAAATATGTCCCGTTTCCAAGAGTTCCACCTCCAACCCGAGCTGTTTCACAGAGCTGGGGGAGTAACCTGACTCCCCAGGGGATTTACTCCTTTCTAATAACATGGGAAGTTTGTGTGGGATGTGCGACTAGCCAGCTCTGGCTGCATGTAAACTGAAAAGAAAGTCATTTATGGGACGGGCCTCTGCTGTAGAGTTGTATTCGTCTTGTTTTTTTGATAATGAATTTGAATGAGTGGTAACAAGAATTGACGGGCCAAGTACGAACAAATCAAAACTTGCTTTTCAGGGATACGCTCCCTTTTTTTCTTTTTAGAACAAGGACCTTTAGGCTAATTGTCCTTTTTTTTCTTCCCTTTTTTTTGGTTCCATGAGCCAAGTTGGAGAGAAACATGCGTGGCCACAAACCACAGCATTAAAGTAAACAACAAAATGCAGATTGACTCTCACAAAAAGGAAAACATTTGAGATAAAAGCAGAGAATGTGTGGACTTAAAGTGACAATAAATTATCTTGGAAGTTTCTTCCTTTTGGTTCAAGATGTAACTCACCAGTCAATACTTTTTTTATTATGAAATGTGTTTTTATTGGGTCCCTGTGGACGCCTGCACTTTCAGGGGGATCTAAAATGTGGTCACATGATTTGATTTACTCTCTGTAGGGAAGACCTGAGCTCAAATGGGAGAGTAGTTCAGGCTGGGAGTAGTGGTGGGCCTGGTTATTATGAGTCTCTTGAGAGGGAAAAAAATTCTTCTGATTTTTCTCAGGCTGGGACAGAACATGTTTTCAGTGTTTTTATCTTGTGGTACCAGCTTTAATCTTTTCAGGCACCCATGGAGGGTTGTAAAAATTCAACTCCATCATTTTACGCTCATTGACCTGGACACCTCCTCAATTGTTGTTATATTACGGGAAAATGCTAATCTTTAAATTTAGAAAGTTAGTAATAAACTGTGACAATGAAAGCACCATCCTATTACTACATTTCAGCATTCTAAACTACGTTTAAAACTCAAGGCCCGTGGGCCAAATGTGGTCTGCCACAGCACTTTATGAGGCTTGCAAGAACTGCAAAGATGTATTAATGTCTTAAAATAAGTGTAGGCTGCTTTAACACTAATTGACCCTAAAATAAATCTCCTATAATGCATGTCAATTATTTTACTCGCAAAATGGCAGCATCCCACCACTAGATGAAAGTGCACAGGGTACAAAAATAGTCTGCAAATTTTGTTTTGTAAAATCTCCATTTTGCTGCATTTTCTCTGGCTAATTTTGCTGGCAGAATAAGGTGCAGGTGGGGCACATCAAAGAGCGATAATAATAGCAGAAGGCAAAGAAGATCACATCGAGACAAAAAAGTAAGACTTAAACTTTAGAAAGTTGATTTCATTTTACCCAGAATAAACCAAAGACAGTAAACTGCAGATTTGTCATTCCATGGCAGGACCATGGCTGTGTCCAAAACGGTGGGCCGGGTCCTCCGAAGGCTGCATCGGCTGCATACGTCACAGCGCCGCGACGAAGGCCGTCCAAAACCGAAGATTCCTCCGATGCAGCCGACAAATGGGTCCTTCCTTCGGCCCGAATCGAAAGACTGGTCCAATGGATCCTTACTGGCCCAGCGTATCCCATAATGCATTGCAGCTCGACCGGAGATTTTCTTTATGCTAGCAATGGCAGACGAAGCGAGAGAAAAGAATATGTTTTAAATAAAAATATGGCGATGTAAAAATTCAAATTTTCAAGCGGTTGTAATTTCAATACTTTTATCATTTGTATAGATGTTTTTATATATTAGTTTTGTCAGGAAAAAACGAACTTATGTAGTGAAATAAACATGCACCTACAGCAGGACAACTAGTACGGAAGCCGAGAGCGGCCGTTTTCCGCTTATAATTATATTCCATGGTTTTCTCGTGATATATATATATAT